CACACACACACACACACACACACACACACACACACACACACACACACACACACACACACACACACACAGAAGAGAGCCTTTCTGCAGAAGCGTACACTTGGATATAAACCGAGAGGTCAAGCAGCTTGAATTTTAACTGTGCCTTCTTGCCTCCGTCACTTTTCCTCGCAATCCTTCTTTTGCCTCAAGTCTGGACATCTCCAAACTTCAGCATCTAAAGAGTGCTGATTCTGAGCACATAATGATCGGTCTTAAGAGGATGGAAGGGGGGCGCGTTACTTGAAAGAGAAAAAGCCCCAAAAGATGAACCCAGTCTCAACTTTCCAGCTTTTTCGCCTCCCGGAAAGGACCTTAAAAACACCTTATTACCACAGTGTTCCCCATTTCACTGACATTTGATACGGTTCTGAATTTGAGCGAGGGATCCGGGATGATGTGCGCAAAAGTTCTCACTATGAGATGCTTGAGAAGCGCTTAAAAGACATGTTGAGGGAGATGCAAAGAGGGGCTTAAGGAGCAGGCAAATAGCAGCGGCTCGGAGAAAGAGACATCTTTAGCTTGGCTTTATGCAACACTATATTGGCTCTTAATCATGTCGAGTACCCGTCAGAGCTTGCCAAAGCAGGTTCAATCACATTACTCCTTCATTTTATGTGTGTGTGTGTGTGGGAAGGAGTGTTTCCTCTGGCTTTTATGTGCTTGCGTGTGTGTCTGCATAACACAAAATGCCGGCGAATGTGAAGGTGTAAGCATGTACTTACACCGGCTAGGTGGAGTTATGATCACAGCATTTTGGGCCTCATGATAAATACACTCGTATATATATAAATATATATGACATCAAAATCTCCCTCTCATCTTAAACAGTGTATGTTTTCATCTTAATATATTTTTTAATAGTAGTAATAAAACAAAAAAGGATTATGGTTATGTTTTTTTATATATTGTGAACTTAGACCAAGTAGGTATACAGTATTTGAGCAAGGCTTGTTTTAAGTTATAGCTACAGGTTACATGTCATGCACTGGAAATCTTAAAGTAAATGGTTTTTAAACAGTACACAGTCCTGTGGGAAGCATTTTTATCATCCAAACAACAGGGTCAAAGCACATGGTGACATACACTGCACTTGACAGCAGTTCTAGGGATAAAGGCCTGAGAATGCATTGATACTGATAATGTCCTCAAAAAAAAGCAAACATACCTACCAAATATGAGAACCAAGTGACTTTAAAGTGAAAACTACACTTACCCAGTTATCGGAACAGGTGAAGAAAAAAATATAGGAAGGCCAACAGTCACATATTCTGATTTTGATCAGTTAGAGTTACCCATCATCATCAACGACACCTTTGACCTCAAATTTTAACTGTCAGACCAGCTCCATCAATAATAAGAGAAGCTTGAGAAATATGGGCCCCAGATTTGGGAGAGACAGCTTAAGCGAAATGTGCACACGTATGGACGATACGTGCGTCTCCATTAATTTTCTAAATCTTCAAAGCTGGCTAATGACAATGAAGTGTTGACTTGAAGACAGATAATGGTGATAGAAAGAGAAAGATGCTGTTTGGGATGTGGGATGGCAAGGCGCGGGTGGTGGGGGTGGGGAGGGATTGTGCGACGGAGAGGACCGAATGAGAGATCAACAATGCCATAAATAACCTTGGGAGAAGTCACCTATCCTCCCGCAGGCGACAGCTCGTCAGGGAAATGAATGGGTTGTCACTGTCGTCTTTGTGCCCATAGCTGAGGGCACTGAAGCTGGCACCGCTGCACTTGCAGACACAAACACAAGTGGGGGAAAAAAGCTTTTCTTGTTTTCATTTTTTCCTTTTTTAACGTCTTTGACCCCCCCCCCCCCACACACACACACACACACACACACACACACACAGACACACACACACAGCACAACACAAACACACAGGTTCACAAACACTCTTTGAAAGCATGAATCCACTTAAGCAAAATTGACATGCCAAAGCAAGGAGTAGAGTCGATGGCGTGCACGGGAATGTAGAAGCTCGCACACTCTCCAGCCCACTCACTCAGCACTCACGCTCCTCTCAGTGTCTCCGTCTGTCTTCCCCTCTCTATATATCTCCATTTGTCTCTCTGGACTCCAGGTGTGTTGCTTGGATTTCATCCCCGCAGCATTTTATTCTCAGCCGGCACAAAATTTACCCACAGTTCAACAGGCTCCGGGACCGCATCGCGCGCACACACACACGTAGACTCTGCGAGGGAAACCAGCGTGTGTGCGCGCTGCGGCTTTTTGTGCTCCTCAGATGAAACAGATCAACAGCTCAGAGCTATACGCACATTGTTTATCAAATTACAAACACCTTCATTACTCGACTATTTTTGCCAGGAGAGATTTGTTCAAACATGTTGTGAAATTAGTGCAGATGTTGTCGTTATTTGTTTATTTACCTGATGTGTTTTATTCATAATAACAATGCTGTCATCATTTCTGATGGGGATGATACACTTTTCTAGTCTGCCTTCAGCTGTTCTTTAGAGATCACAGCAATAAACACCCAAAATTTGACATTATTATTGAACATTTAAATAGAAGAAGAATGTTGGGGCCTATTTCTTCTTCACATTTCCCTTTGAAGTAAACATCTGGAACTAGCTCCACCTTGAGTAGCTATAAATGTACTACTTACACATTGATGGCTTATTTTTGATAAAAGTAGAAGGCTCAATTTTCTTATAAACTTTTATTTTCCAATTGCAAATATAACACTTTACTGATAATACTTTACACTTTTGTGTTTCCACTCAGTTTGTATTTTAGGTTTCTTCTCATTTTGGACTTTATCCAGTGTAGTGTTCATAATAACATCACCAACCTTGAGTGCACCAACATTATATTCATCTTTAGGCAGAGATCTGGATTCCAGGAAAATAACACAGAGTATTTTTTACATCCAGCAGATCCATTAAGGTTTAGGATTAAGATTTATGTTTTTGCCAAATACTACACAAGCGCCATTTTTCAGAAACTGAAAGTAATTTTGGCCTTGCAGCTTTTGTTTTATACATTTTTCTGTTTGAGTCATGTAGGCAAAAGTTTCATAAAGAGAGGGTTGACGTTTGCTTAATCCTCACCTCTGTTCTGTGGCCCAACCCTAACACTAACTTTAAAAGTTATCAGTAAATGTAATTTGTGCAATTTCTTAAAAGGAAATTGTTTGCAACAAAAAAAATCGTTTTAACTGAAATGAATAAAAAAAATATTTACAAAAAAAAGTGTTAAGTGTTGCCTTTGTCAGAAAATTAGGGTTAAGGCTTTTACACACTGGTGATGTAAAATCAATTTCAATATTTCATTCAACAAAAATAGGTTTCAAACTTTTCTTCACATATTCATAATTATTCTTAGCTTCAACAACTGCATCATTTCAAAGGAAAATCCTCATTGCTTGATGTCGACTTCATTTCTTCACAGTATATTTTTTGAAGATGAAAAAATGCAGTGCTTTCAGTGTGTATATACATTACACAACAAATTCAGATCTGAAAAATTTAGAATTTTTGTCGTTCTTTTTGCCACACACTCAGTGTGTAATGGCCTTAGCATTAACAAATATGATGGGTTAGCAGTCTGAACATGTCTGAACATGCATGTAAATACTATCAGTTTGTGCACACGATTGAAATATGTCCCTCACTATACTGTATGGCTTGAGAAAGGAACTCCCAGAAATACATGAGCAACAGTCACAAAAATCTCTTGCACACAATCCTTGGCATGAATTGCCACCTCTTACACACAGCCCTGCCCCTAGGCTCT